ACAGGATGCTATTTATATTGTGCCGCTTTAAGAAATTCTGCAATTTTGATGAGGGTTATTGGTGCCATTCCGTGCTGGGCTGGGGGTTCAATATGCCCATGAGGAACAGGAAAGTGATAAAATTCAACAAGTAGTTTGGGTAGAACATGACAAAAGTCCAAGAGCAGGCACACAAAGCTGACAAAACAATAGGCCAAACTAACCAATATGTAAGACAGAAGCTGCAGAAACAACATGAGATTGGTGGGCTTACCTGAGGCAGTAGAAAGCATAAATGCCATATGCTTCCTCCAGAAACACTTGCCAAAATGAATTCTTACTTTGGCATGCTGCAAAATCCCAACTGAGAGAGCTCACCATATAAGAGAAGGAAACAACAGCTCCAAACTAAGAACATTGATTTTCCAGCAGCTCAACTATACTGACAGACAAGCAATACCGAATGGGGCCAGAAATACACATCCCATCTATGACCAACACAGCCTTGTTTTTTTTTTTTTCATATAACAGTAGGAAAACGGGATCCAGTAGGAAGGAGATGTCTCACTTCAGGCCTACAGCTTTTGCTGTATCTGGCCATTTTGAGAGTGACCTATCATGGCAAAACAGGTACAACTTCACACGCTAAAGGATGCAGAAGATTTTCTCCAGTTGGTGATGACACCAGGCAAGGTTCAGATGAGTTTGGATACCAATGTTGCAACATCAGATGCCACAACACATGAACATTAGCGGGCCACTGAGAGAGGCTCAATCAGGGACCATCTTACAACCATTATCTGTGGCTTTGGCACCCTGATTCAAATGCCACCATTTTGGAGTATTCACACTGACAATACTTATTTGATAAGTTGTCATGTTTTGTGTATCACCCTTTCTGTGGTGGATCCTGGTTTATTCCTGTCATATTAGGCTTTGACATATTGCTGTTGGTTTTGGCTGTTCTAAGAAAGCCATGTTTTCTGAACATATGGCTGTCATGGAGCAGTCATGGCTCCAAAAAAGTTTGTGTTCTCACAAACCTAGGGAAAGATCTACTTTTCTACAGCATTAGCGAGTCCCACAATGGATTAGAAGATGTGCCACATTTCCAGAATAAGTATTATAAAGTAGTTGGTGATTTATGTGCCTCAAGAATAAAGGTGTTCTTATTATACAGGACAGAAAAATGTCTGAGCCATGTAATCTGGATGGCCACTCATAGCTCTGTGTTGTTTGTAGGTGCAGGATCTCTGGTGCAAATGGACCTCTCCACATCCCATTAATGCTCAATTGGGCTCACGTTGGGCAAAAGTGCAGGCCACACCATCCATCAGAGCTCTCCAGAATGCTCCTCGAAGCAATTCTGGATAACTTATGCCTGATGGCACGGTGCATTATCCTGCTGGAATATCCCATCATTGTGAGGGTACCTGAAGTCCTTGAAGGGCTGCAATTGGTCACCAAGCAGTGAAACGGTCAATGACATGTTGAGACGGACCAGTGGACCCAACCCATGCCATGACAACACACCCCACACCAGTATGGAACCACCACCAGCCTGTACAGTGTCTAGATGACAACTGGGGTCCATGGCTACATGGGGTCTGTGCCACACACAAACCCTACCATCAGCAAACAATTGGTTCCGTGACTCATCAGGCCAAACCGCATGAGCCAGTCCTCTAGGGTCCAGTTAGCAACCTCATGAGCCCAGGTGAGGGACTGTGTCAGTGGCCTCCTGCACTGAATGTGGATGTGATTTCTGTCAGAGCCGCTTGTCTGTTTGCACGGCCAATTCTAGTCAGACATGATAATTAAGTACCTGTGGGCGGCCAATGCGATGTCCACTGTGGGTAGCGATGCCTTCTATGATGTATTCCTGCTACACATGTGACACTGTGATTTGAGGAATGTTAAATGCCTGCACAACTTTGAAAATGGAATGTCCCATCTGTCTGGCACCCACTACCATTCCTTATTTAAACTACGATAATTCACGTCACCTTGCCATGAGCACACTGGCCGGTGTTCAACCTCACTCACAACATAATATCTCACAACTTACACAGGTGTAAGTGTTCCCAAGCCGTCCCCTGGGGTAACGCCACTTCATAATCAATTTACACACTGCTATCCCATGACTTTTAACACATCAGTGTATTTTCATGTCTGATCTTAGCTTAGTAGATGTATGGTGCTGCAGTAATCTTAATCATAGGAAGTATTCTTTCTATTCCCAACAGCATAGATCCTTCTCAAGGTCAACAAGCATTCAATTTGGGAATATTATACATTACCACAGTAAAAGCCTAAAGGATGGTTGAAAAAATACAGAAGCATCATGTAAGTCCAGTTTTTTTTACACCATTACAGTATACTCACTTAAAAGAAAAAAAATTCTATCCCTGGAACCTCTTATTTTCTATGTCTTATAACTCAGATCTTATAACTCAGATCTGCCATGAAGATGTATAGCAGCGGTTGAACACTCCACTTTCTCCACACCCAATGTCTGAATAGTTTACCTATTGGGTTTGTAAACATGTATTAGTAATATATATCTACAACTCTATATTAGATAAACCTTATTCTTCATTAAAAATAGCATTTAAGTGGGAACTAGCTCTTGAATTCAAATGAATTGTTTGTATTTTGGGTTATAACTCATTATGGAGTATTTCCCAATGATCTAGAGATCTGTGAATTAAACTTGTACTTGAATCCTACTACTTTGATTGAGTTTAATTGTTACAGTCACAGTACCAGGATAATTATACATGACTCACATATACCACCTCACAGTAGACGCATCACCTCGCACTGCACAGCACCCAAAATGGAGCCCACCAATTAAATTAACAGAGAATTTGTGAAGGAAGTAAACTTGATACACTGAAGTGTAATAAATTATGTTAACTTTTATTTCATTAACTTTCAATAAATGGTAAATATACTTGAACTTTTATCAGCACTCTTACTGAATGCTTTTGTTTGCAGTGCTCTGCCATGTGATGCTGCACTGTGCTATGTGGTGCATCCATTGTGTAGTCTTTCTTGTGCTAAATAGCAAGTCACTTCTTGTTTTGATAAAGTATTTAATTTGATTGTTATTTAAATAGGCAACTGATTTGATATATCACTTTGGCCCATTAAGGAACAAATGATGTTTATATTCAGTGAGTGTGCCTACATGCACCCAATAACCTGATCATAATCAGATTTCTGCAGTCATCTGATTATTCAAATGTTTGTGTAAACAGCACACTCTTATTTCTTAGATCTAGAAATCTGATTAAGAAATCTGATGAAGAGGCTGGATTTTAGCTCAGTAATCAGATTTCTCAGTGCTGTAAACTCTGATTTCTTTCGGATAAGCGAGCATCACTGCCACGAGACGCGGTGAAACACTTTTGGAGAGACACTAAAATTAGCTTCATGCTTCAAGAAATGAAGGATTTAAATATTCTTCATCTTCTAGATGACGTATATTCACATTTTCAGATAAAGTGGTGCAATAGTTTTTGAAAAAAAGCTGTGACATGAAGTTTTACGTTGCGTTTACATCATGTCTTCTTCTGTGAGTTTATTGGCTGGTAGTAAAGCAGAAATCTGATTACTGTCTGACTCATGTAGACTTGGTGTTTCCCCATTATCTGATTAATGTGACACTGCAGGAGTTCAAAAATAAACCACTGTGTTTGTACACAGAGAAAAGAGATAGTTTCAATCTTGTTCTGTTAGCAGTAAAGATTAGCTGATCTTTTCCCAGATGTTAATGAGAACACAGTCAATATTACTATCAGTGTTGGTGAACTCAGTCAGTGCTCTGCTCTCTGAGAGAGAAACTCCTATAAAGGCATATGCAATGAGGAAAAAGCACAAACAGCAGCTTCACTCCTTTGACTGTTTTATGCTGCTACAGGGACCCAGAGTTTATTTAGTAAACAGATCAGTAAATCTGCCTCCTAGTTTCATACGCATCTGTGTTATTAGCCACTATGTAGGTTTTAAATCAGCTGCCACTGAAGTGAAGCTCTCAGGTCTGATAAAGCTACAAACTTATTTGCTTTTCGTAGCTGCTATGTTTGAGTCTCAGTGAGCTACTCTTCTGAAAAACCTACACATTTAAGATAAACATTATTTAAGTTTTCACTCCTTTCAGATGTTCAGATCTGATTTTAATATGACTGATTTATATAGAGTCTAATCTATAACCCTGACATCATTTTATAGTTACATGATTTATGACATCCAAGAATACACATTAATAGTAGATAAAACACAAACTTACAAGCACACATGTACTCTCTCTCTCTCTCTCGGCTGGTTACCCAGGTGGTGGCAAGGGCTGCATCTAACATCTATTTGTGTAGGGTTACAAATCGAGTAAATTAATAAAATGTGGATAATTTTGTGCTGTAGTCCAGCATCCCGAACAACCTACTATTTCTGAGTACAATAAAAACCTTATCATATATCAGTTTGAAATGTTGGTCAAATCTAAACATCAACCCAAAGCACATATCTGTCAATACTGATATGATTCAAATTACATTGTTCATCATACATTGTTCCACCTGGGTCCTCATACTGAAATCTGCTCCCAAATATGTCACTGACATGCAGCTCTTCTTCAAAAAGAGACACTAACATTCATACAAACAACTATCCAAACTCACCTAAACTGCCTCACACATTTCTCTATCATCTGCATCTAAAGTGACTAAAGGAGAAATTACTGAGGAGATCAGAAATAAGATAATCCGCTCACAATATAAGGAAGAAGGATATAAGAACCAACTTTTGCACAGTACTGTAAAATCTTTTGTCTTTGAACAATATAAATACTGACTTAATGAGTGGTTATTTGGAGAAAATTGGGCTGGAATTTGTAAATTAGGGAAAATTTATAAATTAATTAATTAAATATACATAACTTTGAAAAAGGTATTTCTTGAGATAAATCAGGGTGTCCTCGTGCGAACTCTGAGTGCTTTCAGCTGTGTGGAGTAACTCACCATAGAAGGTACTAGGTGTGATCTCTTCCTCCATCATGTGTTCTCTCAGTGTGACTCTGCAGTAGTATTTGCTGATGTCACTGTAATGTACAGTGAAGCGTCGTTTCACACTGAACAGCTCAGCGTGTCTCTGTAACTCTGTAACTCCTGCAGACATATTGTTTCCTTTCCTGTCCAGCCACTGAAGATCAGGCTCAGGAAACCAGCCTTTAGACTCACACAGTAAACTGAACTCTTCAGAGCTACTATCATAGTTCTCCACAGAGATCACTGGACGTGTTCCAATAACTGTGGATTAAAGAAGTTAAAACATCAGTCAGTGTGGCATCACTTCATTATATATGCAGATTTATTAAAATAAAAAATAATTATTTAAAATCAAAACACAAATCTAATGACATTTACCTTCAACTTCAAGTTTCACAGAGATATTATCACTCCAGGATTCAGAGACAACACGACATCTGTACTCTCCTTCATCAGAAATAATAACTTTACTCAGTCTCAGTGAGCTGTTACCATTCTTCAGCTCCTTTTTAAACAGAGCTGTTCTCCCTCTGTAATGACGACTCTTTCTGGTGTTCATGTCTTTATGATTTCCATATAAATGCACTGGAGCACCTCCCAGGTCTGATCTGATCCACGTAATGTTCATATCCACAGCACTCAAACTGGAGCGATCAGCCAGGCGTCGAACAGAACACGGCAGAACAACATCAGAACCAGCTGCAGCAACAAACAGGAGCAACTGGACCCACAACCTCAAACTTCTCTGTAAAAGAGAAACAGAACATTTAATAAACCACAGATAATCTACTCAATAACACACACCACAGATAATCTACTCTATAACACACACCACAGATAATCTACTCAATAACACACACACCACAGATAATCTACTCAATCACACACACCACAGATAATCTACTCAATAACACACACACCACAGATAATCTACTCAATCACACACACCACAGATAATCTACTCAATAACACACACACCACAGATAATCTACTCAATAACACACACACCACAGATAATCTACTCAATCACACACACCACAGATAATCTACTCAATAACACACACCACAGATAATCTACTCAATCACACACACACCACAGATAATCTACTCAATAACACACACCACAGATAATCTACTCAATAACACACACCACAGATAATCTACTCAATAACACACACCTCAGATAATCTACTCAATAACACACACACCACAGATAATCTACTCAGTCACCCACAAAACACAGATAATCTACTCAATCACACACACACCACAGATAATCTACTCAGTCACACACACCACAGATAATCTACTCAGTCACCCACAAAACACAGATAATCTACTCAATCACACACACACCACAGATAATCTACTCAGTCACACACCACAGATAATCTACTCAATCACACACACACCACAGATAATCTACTCAATCACACACACCACAGATAATCTACTCAATAACACACACCACAGATAATCTACTCAATCACACACACCACAGATAATCTACTCAATAACACACACCACAGATAATCTACTCAATCACACACACCACAGATAATCTACTCAATAACACACACCACAGATAATCTTCTCAATCACACACACACCACAGATAATCTACTCAGTCACACACACCACAGATAATCTACTCAATCACACACACACCACAGATAATCTACTCAGTCACACACACCACAGATAATCTACTCAATCACACACACCACAGATAATCTACTCAATAACACACACCACAGATAATCTACTCAATAACACACACCACAGATAATCTACTCAATAACACACACCACAGATAATCTACTCAATAACACACACCACAGATAATCTACTCAATCACACACACACCACAGATAATCTACTCAATAACACACACCACAGATAATCTACTCAATCACACACACCACAGATAATCTACTCAATAACACACACCACAGATAATCTACTCAATCACACACACACCACAGATAATCTACTCAATAACACACACCACAGATAATCTACTCAATCACACACACCACAGATAATCTACTCAATAACACACACCACAGATAATCTACTCAATCACACACACCACAGATAATCTACTCAATACACACACACCACAGATAATCTACTCAATCACACACACACCACAGATAATCTACTCAATCACACACACCACAGATAATCTACTCAATCACACACACCACAGATAATCTACTCAATCACACACACCACAGATAATCTACTCAATAACACACACCACAGATAATCTACTCAATCACACACACCACAGATAATCTACTCAATAACACACACCACAGATAATCTACTCAATCACACACACACCACAGATAATCTACTCAATAACACACACACCACAGATAATCTACTCAATCACACACACACCACAGATAATCTACTCAGTCACACACACCACAGATAATCTACTCAATCACACACACCACAGATAATCTACTCAATCACACACACACACCACAGATAATCTACTCAATCACACACACCACAGATAATCTACTCAATAACACACACCACAGATAATCTACTCAATAACACACACCACAGATAATCTACTCAATCACACACACCACAGATAATCTACTCAATAACACACACCACAGATAATCTACTCAATCACACACACCACAGATAATCTACTCAATAACACACACACCACAGATAATCTACTCAATCACACACACACCACAGATAATCTACTCAATCACACACACCACAGATAATCTACTCAATCACACACACCACAGATAATCTACTCAATAACACACACCACAGATAATCTACTCAATAACACACACACCACAGATAATCTACTCAATAACACACACCACAGATAATCTACTCAATCACACACACACCACAGATAATCTACTCAATAACACACACACCACAGATAATCTACTCAGTCACCCACAAAACACAGATAATCTACTCAATCACACACACACCACAGATAATCTACTCAATCACACACACCACAGATAATCTACTCAATCACACACACCACAGATAATCTACTCAATACACACACACCACAGATAATCTACTCAATCACACACACACCACAGATAATCTACTCAATAACACACACCACAGATAATCTACTCAATCACACACACCACAGATAATCTACTCAATCACACACACACCACAGATAATCTACTCAATAACACACACCACAGATAATCTACTCAATAACACACACCACAGATAATCTACTCAATAACACACACCACAGATAATCTACTCAATAACACACACACCACAGATAATCTACTCATCACACACACACCACAGATAATCTACTCAATCACACACACACCACAGATAATCTACTCAATAACACACACACCACAGATAATCTACTCAATCACACACACCACAGATAATCTACTCAGTCACCCACAAAACACAGATAATCTACTCAATCACACACACACCACAGATAATCTACTCAATCACACACACCACAGATAATCTACTCAATAACACACACCACAGATAATCTACTCAATCACACACACCACAGATAATCTACTCAATAACACACACCACAGATAATCTACTCAATCACACACACACACAGATAATCTACTCAATCACACACACACCACAGATAATCTACTCAATCACACACACCACAGATAATCTACTCAATAACACACACCACAGATAATCTACTCAATCACACACACACCACAGATAATCTACTAAGTCACACACACCACAGATAATCTACTCAATCACACACACACCACAGATAATCTACTCAATCACACACACCACAGATAATCTACTCAATCACACACACCACAGATAATCTACTCAATAACACACACCACAGATAATCTACTCAATCACACACACACCACAGATAATCTACTCAATCACACACACACCACAGATAATCTACTCAATCACACACACCAGATAATCTACTCAATAACACACACCACAGATAATCTACTCAATCACACACACACCACAGATAATCTACTCAATAACACACACCACAGATAATCTACTCAATCACACACACCAGATAATCTACTCAATAACACACACCACAGATAATCTACTCAATCACACACACCACAGATAATCTACTCAATAACACACCACAGATAATCTACTCAATCACACACACACCACAGATAATCTACTCAATAACACACCACAGATAATCTACTCAATCACACACACCACAGATAATCTACTCAATAACACACACCACAGATAATCTACTCAATCACACACACCACAGATAATCTACTCAATAACACACACCACAGATAATCTACTCAATCACACACACACCACAGATAATCTACTCAATAACACACCACAGATAATCTACTCAATCACACACACACACACCACAGATAATCTACTCAATCACACACACACCACAGATAATCTGCTCAATCACACACACCACAGATAATCTACTCAATCACACACACCACAGATAATCTACTCAATCACACACCACAGATAATCTACTCAATCACACACACCACAGATAATCTACTCAATCACACACACCACAGATAATCTACTCAATCACACACACCACAGATAATCTACTCAATCACACACACCACAGATAATCTACTCAATAACACACACACCACAGATAATCTACTCAATCACACACACACCACAGATAATCTACTCAATAACACACACCACAGATAATCTACTCAATCACACACACACCACAGATAATCTACTCAATACACACACACCACAGATAATCTACTCAATCACACACACCACAGATAATCTACTCAATAACACACACCACAGATAAACTACTCAATAAACACACACCACAGATAATCTACTCAATCACACACACACAGATAATCTACTCAATCACACACACACCACAGATAATCTACTCAATCACACACACCACAGATAATCTACTCAATCACACACACCACAGATAATCTACTCAATAACACACACCACAGATAATCTACTCAATCAACACACACCACAGATAATCTACTCAATCACACACACACCACAGATAATCTACTCAATAACACACACCACAGATAATCTACTCAATAACACACACCACAGATAATCTACTCAATCACACACACCAGATAATCTACTCAATAACACACACCACAGATAATCTACTCAATAACACACACCACAGATAATCTACTCAATCACACACACACCACAGATAATCTACTCAATAACACACACACCACAGATAATCTACTCAGTCACCCACAAAACACAGATAATCTACTCAATCACACACACCACAGATAATCTACTCAGTCACACACACCACAGATAATCTACTCAATCACACACACCACAGATAATCTACTCAATCACACACACCACAGATAATCTACTCAATAACACACACCACAGATAATCTACTCAATCACACACACCACAGATAATCTACTCAATCACACACACCACAGATAATCTACTCAATACACACACACCACAGATAATCTACTCAATAACACACACACCACAGATAATCTACTCAATCACACACACCACAGATAATCTACTCAATCACACACACCACAGATAATCTACTCAATCACACACACACCACAGATAATCTACTCAATAACACACACCACAGATAATCTACTCAATAACACACACCACAGATAATCTACTCAATAACACACACCACAGATAATCTACTCAATA